TGACAGTTGTTGTTACTGATGTAGTAGTCTCACTGACAGTTGTTGTTGCTGATGTAGTAGTCTCACTGACAGTTGTTGTTGTTGATGTAGTAGTCTTACTGACAGTTGTTGTTGTTGCTGATGTAGTAGTCTCACTGACGGTTGTTGTTGTTGTTGTTGCTGATGTGGTAGTCGTGATATCCGTTGATATCGATGCTATCGAGATAACAAATGCTTATTTAGCTTAGATTCTATAAATTTGTAAGTTGTTTCACACATGTCTCCAAAGAACCGTGTTTAGGACTTGATGCTATTAAATACGGAATAACCCTGGGCAAGGCATTAACGACTGGTTGTCTCGAATTACTTACCGATAGTGTACTCACTACATGTTGATGTACGTCGTCCCTCTTAGATTTTATGCCGTTAGTAAGTGCGTACGTAGAGCTCAGATAACCGAACAAAAAGATTTTAAATTCAACTGACCTTCTGTCCCAAGCTACAACTAGTACTAGTTGTAGTGAATGTATGAGATGTAAGATGTTATCTCTGGGTAGTAGCGTATTCCACGTGGCTACTGAACCGATAACAATACGCATTTTTACGCATTAAAATATGTGCATTTTACATTTTCAAAAAAAGAAACTTTTTTTGAGAAATAAAAGTCACGATTGTATCGTTTTTTTTCAGCGTGAAAGTTGTACAATTTAACGCGTTAAAATGAGTTCTTCTCTAGCTGGATAGTGATGGTTGCTAGTAAACCAATTCATCAAGCATAGTTCTCAGTAATAACATAGATACTTGCTTGTGGTTGATGTATCTGTAGTTGATGTTGTTGATGTATCTGTAGTTGATATTGTTGATGTATCTGTAGTTGATATTGTTGATGTATCTGTAGTTGTGATCGTTGATATTGTAGCTTAACAAACGAAGTGATAGGATAGGTTTTTTTAATCAACACTAAAATGCTCTCTTCTGCGTACTCTTGATGTTGTTATATTTCACAACGTAAATGATAAGGTCTAGCGCGTGAAAGAAAAGAAAACGCACTCACTTGTTGTAGTTGTTTTGCTCATGACAAGCATGACGATTAGCGCTGCAATGCCAACAAGAACCAATGCCAATATAATACTTGACGCCAGACAACAACAGGGTGAACTACACGGACATAGTGCACCACGGAAACAGCGCTGCCGACGATTTCGTTGCTTGTTTTCATTCTTGATATAGTACATAGACTGTGAGTAGTTAATGCCATCAAGTTTCAGATTGAAGAAAAAAGGAGAGATTTCCGAAAGTTTTCCATGGAAAAAGAAAAATTGATGTGGACAGAAAAGCATGCCTTCTTCTCTCAATAAGTAACCACTGTCTATACATGTAAGAAGCTTTCATAAATTATCAGAAATGATGAGGAACCGCAAGCTCACTTTCCTTCTGAGAAATGTTTGAAAGCAGAGCACTTGAAAATGACAAATCATTTATGAGCTACATCATGTATATAGTTATTTATCTTCGTTTGACATCGCTGTCTTTGAGATTCCTATGAGTTACATAGAAAGGTATTTTTCTTTTTGTACGGTACGCATGGAGTAGATTCAAGTAATTTCGTAATCAACCTTTTTATCATTTTGACTCTCCTCCTAATGTAAGTGATATCTGAGATTAATCAATGAAGCAGGGTCATCGGCATCAGCATGGGTCGACCTCCTATCCCTGTAAAGTTACCTATTTAATACTTGAATTGCTTCGTGTGTGATGCTACTATATATCTATACTAGTATACCTATGATACTATTTGACCAAATAAAAAGTCAAAAGTCAAAGTATGTAGGTTTAATATTAGGGAATACGAACCAAAAGAGCATCTCGATTATACCAAAAAATCTTCATTTTGGGAGTGAGGGTAGAATAGCATCACATATACACTACATCCACACTCATGTGCTCAGTACTGTACAGAATAGAAGAATTTTTAATTTTCTGAAAACAGTAGCAATCAAGTTCATATACATGATTTTTTTGAAAACATTATTTTTCAATTTTGGAAGTTTCTCTTTTTGTTCAAGAAACTTCTAAATACCTCGTTATTGTTGAGTAAAAACGTTTCTGAAATAGCAGGCCACGTTTTGTTCTTCGAAAAAGCCTCGAAGCTTGACGTAAATGAACTTTTCGAAGGAGTCACAAGATTGAATGAGTCAAGATGACTCAGAGATGTCATTGTCTGCAAAAACAGAAATTTTTCCACTAGATATGCATTAGAACTATTATGTCTTACCTGTATCGAGTGCATATGCGATAAAGGATATAAAGTAGATCTAATAGTCTAATAGAAGATATAAAGCCTCAATTTGTAGCTCTTTTGAGATGAATAAGCATCTTACTTCAGATCGTGACCCATTCACTATTGATTTCGTTGGTTCTGGTCGATTACGTGTCTTTTCAGGAAAAAATATTTGTGGAGAAGCTTCAGGACCTACTACATTCAAGCCAATAAGTTTTGTCTTCTTTATTACTCCTGATGCAGTTGATTCCACTCGTTTGACATGAGTGACATGAATATTTCTACTTAGCTACGAAAAGAAAAGTAAAACAAGAGGGTGATATCTAAATCAAGTAGACGTACGTCTCTAAAATCAGAATAGTAACTGCTTCGTTGGTTATTTTTCTTAACAATGGTAACTTTGGCTGCTGGTAAGCCTTCCATGGAAATATTTTTCGAGCACTGCTTTCTTCTTTTATTAAAAATTTTGGTTATACAGATTCAGTTTCAAATAATCTACTTCTTATGTACGTGCATCTTTCGTGTGCACATACATGAAAAGAAAAGATGAAAAAATAATTAATTCACTAGAAATTGAAATTGGAATTGAAAGTAAACAATTTTTTCGCATACCATCCTTTGCATATATAATTTTGTATTTTCTAGTTACAAAAACAAATTCATTACTATGAAAGAACCGCCATTACTGTTATCCCTGTGCTACAAACGTATGTTATTGATAGGTCCTTTGAGTAGATTGAATTTTAAAAGGTGTAGGTATGGATGAATGGAAGACTTATATCTGCACCCGTGCTTACACTTATACTCATCCGAAAAGAAGTGGTTCTGTCACAAAATGTTTTATTTGAAGTTTGTCTCCTGTCTTCATAGCTGCCTATAAAGGCATCATCGATCAATTACGAATTTATAGTCGAGAACTAACAAAAACAGAGATATGTTCTTTATTTCATGCATGATATTTTGTTGTCGATATTGAATTACACTGTAACAGTAAAGAACAGCAACTTTTTGCCTCATTACTAACTATCGATTGCCATTCATGTGTGTTGTCAAAATCAATTCATGAGAGAAACAGATTTCAATCAATGTGTTTTTTTCATAATTACTTTTCCTCTTATAATAAGAATGTACAATATCAGAATTTATTTTATTTTAGAATAAAAAAAAAGAGAAGTTGAATACTAAAGTTTTAATACGAATGTCCACTAGGTTATCAACAAATTCACGTGTCTAAATGAAGATTAGTTCGATTAACAAGTACAGCTTAGAAAAGGATAGAATAAAAAATTGAACCAAGACCAATATTAATCAATAACATATGAGATACATAAATATTTATGGTCACCGGCTGATTAGCAGAGCTCGATCGTAGCAGATCTAAATTCTGACTCCAATAAGTTTCAATAAATTGGGTTAGAATCCGGAATTTTAGATTGGACGGGCTCTACCTATTAGTGGAACTGGAGATATTTAAAATCATTCTTCTGTTCCACTCAGAATCTTGTTTGGTTCCGACCATCTGTCTTACACGAGGTGAAGTTAGCCAGTAACAGTCTTGTCTTTCGTTGAAGATTTAGATTGATCTCAACTTCAGAAAGAAAATGACTGAAAATTGTTAGAGTACATCCGCACGATCAACATAAAAAGAAATTCTAGCCACGTCTATATATTGAATATTTTCTTACCATTAATATTGTGGATTTACGAAATTCAATTATTTTTTCAAAACTGATCAAGATTCTCTAAGAATACTATTTTAAAGATGAAATAATTAAAGCCTTGTCAAATATCTCATTTTCTCAATGGTCTACTTTCTATTTAGTTGTGTTTTTTCACGTTTCTGTGAAAAAAAATTTTCCTAGTGCAAGGCAATCAAGATTCAAAACATAGAATAACGATTGCATTACGAAGTATTGATGAATTATTTACTGGAAGAGAGGTTCACCTGAAGATCGAAATGTAAAATTTGCAGATGTGTGGCTTATTAAAAATGTATGGAGATTATTATTTGCAGACAGGTAAAAACAAGAGATTGAAAAGGAATGAAAAAAAAAACTTGTGATGATTGTAGAAAACATGATTGACAAAATTTCTCATAGACTAGGCGAATTGATAATTAATGACGGAAAAGAAATGCATGATACATAAACAACATATTTTTATAATTATTAAATTAATACATTCTTCTACTAAATAAAATGTATTTGGTGTTTTTTTGCCATTGAAAATAATCATGACCCATTTTAAGATTTTAACTATCACGTTTCATTTGTTTATATTTCTATTATTTAAATAGATAATGTCATCAGATAATATGTATACCATTTAAAACATTGTCTAAACTACTTGAAGCTCATATAGATATGATTCAGTAGGGATCACTCTTTGTTCACCTATAAAGTAATTTTCGTTGAGGTCCAGAATTAGTGGGACATCCTTTGTATGTATGAATGATTACTAAGTAAACAAGAAAATAATTATACAATAAATTTATACAAATAATATATGTTACAATAGAACAGAGAAATGTTGAAACTGGTTGCGATTTGAAGAGAAAAATATGTTGCTATGGCATATTTTCATCACACAAAAACATTAAACATATTTTGATTGGTGACTCAGAAATAAAAAATTTATTTGAAAAGAATTAATTATTTCTTCAATATCATTTTATGATAATTGACATTCAGTACCAATATAAAAATGAAAATACTAGGGTAACAAAATTATTTGATGAAAATGACGATGTAATTGATCATTTATATATAGAGTGTCCAATAAGTCATGAAACAGACACACTAAAAATTGCATATCTTCATTATGGCTCGGCCAAAAGGGCTCATTTTTTACTAAGAATAGAGGCATGTTCACATTCCAAATTCATACAGACAAGATCAGTGAGAATCTTTGTTAAATACCATTATTAACCTCAACAAGAAAATTTTACTTGTTCATAGGTAGGAAAAAACAACATAGGATGGCGCAAAAGTCACTTTATCAGAAAAGAAAATTGAATATCTTCATTACGGCTCGAGCAAACGAGTTAATTTTCTTGCCAAAGATAGAAGCATGTTCACACTCCAAATCCGTATGGGCAAGATTAGTGCGAGCCTATGGTGAGCATATTGGTTTCTTTTCCTATCTGTGAACAAGTAAAATTTTCTTGTTGAGATCGATAGTGGTATTTAACAAAGGTTCTAACTGACTTTGTCGGTATGAATTTGGAGTGTGAACATGCCTCTATCCTTAGTAAAAAAAGAATGAGCCCGTTTGGTCGAGCTCTAATGGAGATATTCAATTTTTAGTGTGTCTGTTTCATGACTTACTGGACACCCTATAGTATTTTTAAATTTTTTTCTTGGGACTACACCATACCCCGCGCTCATATTCTAGGGTAATACTCAGTTTTTTGCACTTTCTCGAATGATGCAACTCTTACGAATTAGACTGTGAGACGATTGTTTTCGACCAGTTGATATGAGATAACAAAATTGTTCTATTGGAAGCTTGAGAGAAGGTCCGCCAGAAGATCACTCTATATGACGAACTGGAGAAGTAGCGTTATGACCACGCTCGACAATGATATTTATTGAGCTACTTCATTAATTCAGTCGTATCTATATCATTACGAACAGGTCATTATATACACTCAGAGAAGATAAGTTAGAGTCTGTATTTTGACGATTTCATTACAATAACAGCGTTTTTTTTTGAAAAATAATGATAGAAACTAATTTCTTCCGAATAAGATCTGTTTTATATCCGCGATTGTCGATATTGTGGGACTATTAAGACTTTTTTTGTCTTGATAATCGTGAGTATTGGTTATTATTGTCTATAATTATAATTGATAAATCTTTGTCAATCTATTCTATGGTTTGTAAAAATATACAGAAAAGTAAACGAAAACAATTATTATATCACAAAAAATATCATTTTTATTCAAGTGTTCAATATTGCTAAAAAAATAACTATATAAGAATAGTTTCGATTCATGCTCTTTATTTCACCACTTGTCTAGTTGATACAGTCAAAGGCATATGAATGCGTTGTGTATTTTTTATGATGCTTCTGCTTTGTATTAGGTATTATTTTTCTCCAAGTTATATATTTATTTACAAGATGAAAAAAAGAAAGAAAAATAATTGTACAGAAACTTGTTACAAAAAAATAGAATTTTTTTGTCTCTTGATGATTCTTCGGTCAAATAAGAGGATAACTAGCCATGGTAGCAATACCACATTGGTTTTGCATGTTTCGACTCATCCAAATATATCCTTCCATACCCCATGATGTACCCCATGAATTTTTTATAATATAATAATCACCTGAACTTGTTGTATCATAACCAACAACTAAAACACCATGATCAAGTTTTGTTGATGAACAAGCTGATTCATTATAAACACCCGATGTATAAAATTGAAATGACTCGTGTGATGCATCAATAGCAACTGAAATAGGACCAATGGTAGCAATAGCAAGTTGAAGATCATCTTCATTCTGAGGTGTGATATCAACATATCCCTAAAATGTCACAATTATATATTTAAATAACTTTGAATTTTGTATAAAATAAAATAATTCATATTTACAGTATCAGTGGCGCCAATATCAGTGTTTTCGAATCGACATAGATGATCAAAACCTTCATATGGATAGCTATGTTCAGTATCAATACCTTCATTAATTTTGACATATTGAAAAGCATTATCCATTAAACCACCGAAACAACCCATGTTACCAACAAAATCTGAGCAATCAACTAAGTTTTGCTCTGAAAGTGAAATAAGTTTTTTTGTTTTAGCAAAATGTTGACCTTCAAGTGCACCAGTGGCTGAAAAAGCCCAACATGAACCACACTGTCCTTGATCTTTGACTGGTGTTACATAACCTTCTTTACGCCAATCTATATGAAAATATTTTTGAAAATCTTCTCATTATATTACAATAATCTCAATCAAAAGAAAGCCTACCGACAGACTTTGGAAGGATAACATTTGATGGAGCTACGAATGTATGATGATCATGATTGTTTTTTGTTTTTGATGCTTTAAATCCATTCATATGTTTTCTGAACTCGTCATTAGTCTACATAAACAATTATAATATATTTGCACATATAATAATGGAAAAGAAATCTACCAAATCACCGAATTGATTCATTCCTAATGTATAAGTATGAATGCCAAGATCAGCTTCAAAATTATGTTGATGAATTTTGGCAAGATTTGTTTCCCAAATCTTTCGACTATCAATGAAATTAAAAAAAAAATATTTTTTCCAAATTATAAAAATTCTCTTATATCATACCGAACATTTTCTTTTCCAATTGTAGTATATTGTTTTTGATAAACACTTTTGAATAATGCCCATTCATTGTCAAGTTGATTATCAAGTATAGGAGCACAATAAGCGTCTACGAAGAGGACACAAAAAATAATGAAGACTTTCATTGTTAATATTGTACGCGAAGACGATAGTATTATTGATTGTCGACGAAATGTAACTAGTTCGCTGCGACATAATTGTGTTTATTTATATTTCTCACAATTTTCTCATAGTCGTAATATCATACAGAGGTGACGTCAAGTTTTGTCATACGATTTCAAATCAGCAAAACATTTGACCAATATAATACGATCATAAAAGAATAACGCTATTTGGTTATCTTTAAAATACTGTTTCTCGTGCAGACTCTGCATAGAATACTATAAAAAAAAATGTGACAGGTGATAAAAATATACTTTTCATTCAAAATGTTTTGTGTTTACCGAGTCATTCATGGAATGTGTGACTTTATTGAGTACGATTCTTCTATAGGTTAATAGTGTGTACTTTTCTTATAGATAAAGTCAAAGAATTCGTCATAGGGAGAGAACTATGAAAGATGCGCATGACGAGAGTTGCGCATGATGAAAGTTGAAAACGTACTTGACACGTACAGAGTAACAAATTCTTATCAATATCTTGTAAGATAAAAATAAAAAACAAAGGGACACATAATTGAAGCAAAGATAGCTGAAAAGTTAAATAAAAATAGAAAAAAAATATCAGTCTAAACGTGCCATTTTAAGTACAAAGTCTATTGTAAGAGGCCTCTTAAATCTCAGTAATCGAAGATTCAGTCATTGGTATAGCAATAAATAAAATTTTCACTATCATTTACGAATTAAACAACAAATACCAACAGTTTTTCACAATTTTTAGTGGAATTCTCCCTTTAAACTTTGAGATATATCAATAATATTAACTATCAAATCATATCAAAATAAATATAATGAAAAAGAATTCTTCGTTCAATTTATCCAAACACAATCCAGATTGCATATACATATAGTATTAATCAGAGATGGATACTGTTCAACTTTCTAAAAATTCGAGCTGAATCAAAAATAAATTAAACTCCTACAGAAATAATTAAAACTATGTAATTTTTATTTTGACTCCTTTGTCTTATTTCAGACGATTGTTATTTAAATCATTCTCTCTACAATAGGAGTTTCTCGCGCTTTATCAACTTCAATAAATCACTTATCACTACATCATTTGTCTGAAACTAATGATTGAACTGTAGATATTATTATCAAAAGAAAGAGGACGTCAAAATAACAGCATTTGGATAATATTTGAAACAAAGATAATGATGAATAAAATTGCATATGTTCAGAAGTTATTTTACTTGAAAAAAATGATAAGAAAATGACTGTAGAGAAAAATGTAATTATTTTTCCTGGTTGCATTAGTGTAATGTCTTTGTATGTCACTCGTGAAAGATAAATTTAAAAAAAAACATTACTGAAAGGAAAATGAAGCTGTTTAAATAAAAAAATGCCTGTAAAATATAAAATATTAATGTAGTCTTTGATTGACAGTTTTAAAGTATAGCCGATGCAAAGTTGACTATTCACATTCAAAAAAGAGAAAGAAAATTCTACACATTCTTAATCTTCTACAGGATATTGTCTAATGCTTCATTCACTTGGCACTAAGTAGAAACAAAACTATCTAATAGTCCACTAGATTTACCCATAAGTAATCCAACTATAAGCCGGATTGCAAAGAGATATATTTGATAGGGCGGAAAAGCACTATGAACTCCTTCTGTTAAACATCAGCAATTGATTAATGATTGTGATGTTGCAAAATACACTTTCTTTCCTTGAATATTCGATGGATCTTGATTAACAGCAATCACATTTGCATTAGTAAGTGTTGATAGAGCGGCTGCACTCATGTAACTAATATCACATCCAATAATCAATCGTGCTTCAGTATTTGATCATAGCGAGAAATGCCTCACATATTCCATATCCATCATGTCACCATTGCCAACTTCGAGCACTAAATGAATATGATGCAATAGATTAGACTAACTATGAAATAATCACTTACCATCAGAATCATTCCAACTACTGGAATCTGCGTGCTGAACAAGCTAATTGTTCTGAAAAAAAAAGAGAAAAGTATTCAAATATGAAAGATATCAAATAAATTTACGCGATCAATATTGCCGATCATTGAAACCCAATTATCTAGAAAACTGTCAAATAATATACGGAAAAGTGTTACCAGATTGTATGCATACCACACAAAGAGTAGAAGAGGGATTTTTCACTTGCATTTTATGTATCTCGCATAAGTGAATATTCAACTGCTGCAGGAGTTCCATCTAGATAATGACTATCGAGTTTCAAATAATGTACGCCTCAAGCAACACAAGTATCTGCATCCAGTTTTTATAGCCTGACGAAGCAGGTCGGCCATCACAAGTCTTATATCTTCTATCTGTTGTATGGTGAAAAATAAGATTTAACTTGCACACCTGAATAAAGACTAAACTTGAGTTTTCCTGAATGAACATGATCGATTAGATTTCAAATGTCACTTGGAAAAGTTTTTCGCTCGAGTTGAATAATCCGTTGCACAACTTGACGTTTTTGCCAGAAACCATCCAAATTCACTATGACAGACAATAGGAAGATAATGATTTGTATATACGAAATAAGAGAAAAATAGACCATATTGATATCCCACTGTAGTAAAAGCTGTGGCTACCATAGCATCAGCTGTTTGTCGGATTACCGTTTTATTGATATGACACCAAATCCATCTTTCAATAGTAAAAATCGTGCATAATTCTTTTTTTTTCTGTTACCCATTGGAGGTGTTCTACCAAATCTATTATTCAATTCATGAGAAAATTCGATGAAAAATAACAAGAAAAAAAATGTTGAAATTATCATGGTGTCGTAATACCACAATGTGAAGCGAAAATAAGTTGACGAAAAAACAATGTCCTTGTATGTTTTACTGTGTTGATAAAAGAGAGTCGAGTCCTTTGCCACATCGAAATTCTTATCTATATTTAGATGCTAGCATTTATTTGCATAAAGATGTACGTCAATTGTTGATAGGTTTTTTGCACTGGAATATTATATAATTTATCTTCAATTACTATCTAGATCTAATTTTCCTACAGATCATATAAAACTATCATTGGTGAATAGAATCAGACTCGCATCGGAGCTTGTCAACCTGTACTGTAATATCGTTTTAGTTTAAGTTTCACATTCATCAATTTGATATTAGATGTAATTTTTAGTCTTTTGTTTTGATTGTTTAGCATGAGATTATTCATCAGTTGATAATATGAGGCAAGAAAACTAAATTCTAATAAAAACTTTACTTAAAACGAAAAAATTTAATGCAGACTTATTGCTAAGAAGATACTGCTAATCATCGTCAATGCAAAATAACAAAACGACACCAATTAGGCTTGACTTCTTACATGCACTTGGAAAGATTTTAGTTCTTGATTCTTTCTTACATAGTGTAAAAATATTTTCGAAGCTAGTAAAGGATGCAAAATAAAAAAAACTTATTAGCCCAATCCCTTTAGTGTTAAAATATGGAATTCACATATCTTCTTCATCGTTATTATGCTAATATAACATACATAAAATGACTAATAACTAAGAGATGATAGTTACCTCTCAGGAATAATCGACTATCAAAGAAACAATTTGTTTTATTCGCATTCGCATTTTGCACAGTATTTTTTTCTTTATTTGTTTTTACTGACACTCTATTCTTTATTTCTTTGTTGCTATTTTCTAATTATTAATTTTTTCTTAATTGATTACTATTTTTATTTTCCTAACTAATGATTTAACTAGTAAAGCACCAGGTTGTACACTTACATTACATCCATAACAGATCTCAACCCACTAATTATGCATCTCTATAAACTCAAAACACTGGTATCCGGTATTGTCGAAAGTTAAAGCTTGATTAGTGAATGCTTTTTGTGTTAAACATATGATGAGGGCGTGAGTGTGGGTGCGGGTGTAGGTCTGTATCTTCTCTTGAACGACACCTACACATACATCCACATCCCACTCACACCCTCTCACTTTATTTTCCACATTCAAACTATAGTATTTTACTTTACTTTACTTTACTTTTTCAAAGTAAAATAAAGATACTGTTCCACCCCTATGGTAGATCGAATGAGTTCATAATTGGAACTAACATTGAAATTCGAATTTGAAGCCAAATTCAAATCGATACTTTTCTGTGAGTGGAGACAAAGAGCAAGATTTGTTTCTATTGGTTATTCGAATTCAAATTCAAACTAAATGTTTTTCTTTTTTCTACACTGACATGATTATCGATTGAAATTCGAATTCGAATCGCAATGTTAGTTACATTTACATTCGAACTCAAACTAGACAGTTAGTCGAAACTGTATACTGAATAAGTTAAAAATCGCGAAACGGAGAAAATAATAGCGATGAATCTATTGTGCATGAAGGAAAAAGGCAAACGAAAACCTAATATATATGGTAGCGTCACAAAATCACAAGAAGACATATTTGTTTATCAGCTCGGTTTTCAGACCATATGTCATCCAAGAAAAAATACGCTAATTCCTATTTTTTAAAAGGTCTGTTGGTTTCAGCAATCTCTAATTGTCACATAGATCAAACTTAAGATATTGCTGATTATTATCAACGAGTGATAATTTAGAAAAAGACGAAGCTTGAACTGTGATCTTTCACTCGATCGGCGGCGGTGGCTAACACCTCTATCTACAGTATGTATGTGCCTTTTTCTTTCGCCTATTTCCCAGGTGGATCATTCTGGCGGTCGGAAACGGCATCTTATCCGACCTGAAACGGCGAATTACTGCATTAATTTTGGCCTTATTTCGCCATAATCCGTCATACTGCATTACGAGCCGTTTCTATTGCTAGAAAACGGCCGTCGTTTTTTCTCGGTTTTGCTTCCATAATATGGTATGATTGATTACGGCGCCGTTTATCGACGTTTTACATGGTAAATCGCCATTTTATTGGATCTGGGTTTATGTACACATCATTGAAAAAAAATGGGAAGAAAATGTTTTAGAGAATGTGTCCTCGATATTGGAAAAAAATCACAGCTTTTTATTCTTTATTAATGATTCTTTGCAGATGATTTTCATGACTTTCTTGACATTTTTTTTTGACTTAGAATGACTTTCTTGACTTAACTGACTTAAAATGACTTAATTGACTTACTTGACTTAACATGAATTTAAAGTGACTTAAGTCAGTCGTTTTCCCTTGCCTACATCCAACACACACCCACACTCACACCCACACCCACATCCACACACCCACACCCACATCCATATTCACACCC